TTTAAAGTGAGGAGAAACAGCTATGATTATTCATTAATAATCAGAACATGGGTAGTACAAAGTAAGAATCTAGGAAAATTGTAAGTTGTCAAAAATGAAATGGAAAGAATAAATATCCATATACTAGGGGTCCTGGTGTGGCACTCTGGGTTAATGTGCTGGACTGCAAGGTTGGTGTGAACCACAAGGTTGGTGGTTCAAGATTACCAGCCACTCCTTGGAAACCCTATACAGGGTGGCTATGAGACGGAACTGACTCAATGGCACTTAACAATTTCACTAAATATTAGTGATATTAAAAAGATGGGTTTAAGCCATTTTAAATCTGACAATCACATGGTTTACTATGCTGGGATTGACAAATTGAAAAGGAATGGCATCTCATTCATTACCAGAAATAGAATTCCAAGATCTATCTTGAAGTATTCTTATGCCTACAAGACAGACCAGTTAATACCACTATTAGATATATTTATGTACCATCCACTGAAGTAAGCGATGACGAAATTGAGGAATTATATCAACTTCTTCAGTTTGAAATTAATTGATCAAATACAGAATCAAGTTGTATTGCTAATTACTGGAAATTGGAAAACAAAGGATTGAAACAAAGATGAAGGATCAGTTGCTGGATAATATGACACTGGTGATTTAAATGATGCCAGAGATCACATGACACTACTTTGAAAAAACAATGACTTTTTCATTGAAAGCATCTTTTTTTCAAATAACAAAAGGATGACTTTAAACATGTAAGTGACTGGATGGAATACAGAGAAATCAAATTTACCACATATGTGGAAAGAGGTTATGGAAAAACTCCATATCATCAGCTAAAACAAGACCAGAGGCAGATCATCAATTCTTAACTTGTAAGTTCTGACTGAAGCTGAGGAAAATAAAAGGAAGTCAACAAAATCCAAATCCAAATTGTGACCTTCAAGATACCTTACATAAATTTACAGATCATCTGAAAAACAGATTAAATGCATTAGACACAAAAGACTGAAGACTAGAAGAGTTGTGAGATGACATCAAGAACATCATACATGAAGAAAACAAAAGATCATAAAGAAGACAAGAAAGGGGAGGTGGAACTTGATGGAGGCAAGGGTGGAGGTGCAATGAGATTCACCATCAGCAATACCAGAGAATACCAGGCAAAGCAGATTCAGGGCAGAACTCCAAAAGTCAGAACTACATAGATA